TCCGCCTCTCGCCCCGCCCCTTTCTCAGCCTCTTTCTCCGTGCCAGAGTGGTTTTTCCTTTGCTAGGGCAGCATTGCCAGCATACTCTCTCAGTTGGCAGAATTCAACTGAGAGAATATGCTGGCAATGCTGCCCTAGCAAAGGAAAAACCACTCTGGCACGGAGAAAGGGGCGGAGAAAGGGGCGGGGAGAGAGGCGCAGTCTCATGATGTCAGGGACGTGCTGGCAAGGTTTGCTCCCGCAGGAGCCTAGTTTGCGGCGGCTCTTAGACTGTTTAAGTTGTTACCACTCCAGATTTGGCATCCTTCTCATCTTGCACTCAAAACGGGAGTACCTTGAGCACAAGTCCAATTACTGGCTTGCAGTAGCGGGAACGAGTGGACAGCATGGAGAAGGTGGCAAACAGCAGTGTTACCACAGCAAAAAATGGGTGGTTGGCATTTGAGTTACTACCAGGACTTAAAGGGAGTGGGGTAGCATCATAAGGATGGAGTATTGAAGCCTGCAAGCAGGTCATCAAGTTCCCAATTGGCATCCAGAAGCTTAACAGGCCTTGTTCAGGAGGGGAAACTTTGAGACCTTCTGAAGCCTGTAGAGATCTGTTGTGTCAATTCTTCTAAGAAATACCACAAGGGTCATTTTGTTAGACCTACCACCATCCTCATTAGAAGATGACAAATGGCTAGTTTAGTACACTACTGTAACATTTCACAGACTTTGAAAGGAGGCAAGGCTGACCAATTAAACAGGAGTTTCAATGATTGATAATTATTGGGTTAGAACCAGACATCCTGAGGTGTGAGGTTGAATGGGCCTTAAGAAGCATTGCTAACAACAAGGCAGCAGGAGACGACGGGATCCCAGCTGAACTGTTTAAAATCTTAAAAGATGATGCTGTCAAGGTGATGCATGCCATATGCCACAAATATGGAAAACACAAGAATGGCCATCAGACTGGAAAAAATCAACTTATCCCCATACCAAAAGAGGGAAATGCGAAAGACTGCTCAAACTTCCGTACAGTGGCCCTTATTTCTCATGCCAGTAAGGTAATGCTCAAGATCCTGCAAGGAAGACTCCAGCAATACATGGAGCGAGAGTTGCCAGATGTTCAAGCTGGGTTTAGGAAAGGCAGAGGAACGAGAGACCAGATTGCCAATATCCGCTGGATAATGGAGAAAGGCAGGGAGTTTCAGAAAAACATCTACTTCTGCTTCATTGACTATTCTAAAGCCTTTGACTGTGTGGATCATAATAAATTGTGGCAAGTTCTTAGTGGGATGGGCATCCCAAGCCATCTTGTCTCTCTCCTGAGGAATCTGTACAAGGACCAAGTAGCAACAGTAAGAACTGACCACGGAACAACAGACTGGTTCAAGATTGGGAAAGGCGTACGGCAAGGCTGCATACTCTCACCCAACCTTTTTAACTTGTATGCAGAACACATCAGGCGATGTGCGGGGCTGGATGAATGCAAGGCTGGGGTGAAAATTGCTGGAAGAAACATTAACAACCTCAGATATGCAGATGACACCACTCTGATGGCCGAAAGCGAGGAGGAGCTGAGGAGCCTTCTAATCAAGGTGAAAGAAGAAAGCGCAAAAGCCGGGTTGCAGCTAAACATCAAAAAAAACCAAGATTATGGCAACAAGAATGATTGACAACTGGAAAATATAGGGAGAAAATGTGGAGGCCGTGACAGACTTTGTATTTCTAGGTGCAAAGATTACTGCAGATGCAGACTGTAGTCAGGAAATCAGAATACATTTACTTCTTGGGAAGAGAGCAATGACCAATTTCAATAAAATAGGTAAGAGTAGAGACATCACACTGGCAACAAAGATCCGCCTAGTCAAAGCCATGGTATTCCCTGTAGTCACCTACGGATGTGAGAGCTGGACCTTAGGGAAGGCTGAGCGAAGGAAGATTGATGCTTTTGAGCTGTGGTGTTGGAGGAAATTGCTGAGAGTGCCTTGGACTGCGAGAAGATCCAACCAGTCCATCCTCCAGGAAATAAAGCCCGACTGCTCACTGGAGGGAAAGATACTAGAGACAAAGTTGAAGTACTTTGGCCACATCATGAGGAGACAGGAAAGCCTAGAGAAGACAATTATGCTGGGGAAAGTGGAAGGCAAAAGGAAGAGGGGCCGACCAAGGGCAAGATGGATGGATGGCATCCTTGAAGTGACTGGACTGACCTTGAGGGAGCTGAGGGTGGTAACGGCCGACAGGGATCTCTGGCATGGGCTGGTCCATGAGGTCACGAAGAGTCGGAGACGACTGAACGAATGAACAACAACAACAAACTGCCATGAAAATGACATGACTGCCAGGGTTGATCATATCATTAGGTAGAGTAAAGTAGCTAGGTCTGAAAGCACATTTTTGTGTCATAAATAAGGTAGTGAACTGTTTGCAATTAATCCATTATTATGAAGTTGGATACAGGCTTTGAGTAAACTTATGCAATCCAATGGAACTGAAGTTAGTGTATATGATTTAAGTATGAATCCATTATCATCATAGGCAATAAATTGTAGACGAGTATGATTGAAGCATGAATCCATTGTAGTTTAATACCAGAGAAGGAAGAGCTGTTTGGGATTATCTGCTATAGATATCAACATTACCGAGTTGGTCTTATTTTTAAGCATCTAGATGTGTAGAAATTGTGGTATTTGCTGGTCTTCAGAATACAAAATATCTTGGGTCAACCCTGTGGATTACCCTAATTTTCATTACTTTATAACATAAAAGTCTAACATGAATGCAGTTTTCAAATGAAACTTGTATTCAACACTGATTATTTCTGGGAGAATAATGTAAAGGGGTTGGCTCTGAGGATGCCAGCCATAGATGCAGGTGAAACGTCAGGAGATAATGCTTCTAGAACAGTGGTTCTCAACTTGGGGTCCCCTGATGCTTTTGGCCTTCAACTCCCAGAAATCCTAACAGCTAGTAAACTGGCTGGGATTTCTGGGAGTTGTAGGCCAAAAACAGTTGGGGACCCCAGGTTGAGAAGCACTGTTCTAGAACATGGTCATACAGCCCAGAAAACTCACAGCAACCTAGTGATTCCAGCCATAAAAGCCTACAGTAACACATTCTCAGGTGATACTTTCTTCACAAATGCCCTGATTTGACTGACAATCTCTCATGAAAGACAAAGAAACTGTGACATACATATGGAGATCTCCAACCCATAACAGTCTTTCTACCCAATTGAAGGGGGCAATTAAGCCACTGTGTGCTTTTTGTGGAACATCTTTCTCCACTGAAAAACCACAGCAAAGTTCTGTTATATAGCAGCTCCATAGGACAGGCATACATGGAGTTTTGCATTATTTACCTATTCTATATTTATACCATCTTACTTCTATGATGAAATGAGTCACTAATACTGATTTCCAAATGCATTACAGTTCCTATAGCCACATCACGAAGAAGAGCCCAAATATGTTTACATCGAGTTGTTCAACATCACTAAGCCAGTTCCATCAAGCTCTGGACTTTTATATGGTAAATTGGTCCATTAAACTTCCCCGTGCAAGACCAGGCAACACCCAAACTATTTTGCATTACAACAGGTATAGTTCACAAGAACACACTGTTGCTCTGAAAATGGTTCTACGTGCCAGCACTGACAACCATGCCGAGAAGAGACAGTGAGGCCTACAGCATGACCCCTGCTAGTCCAAAAATCAAAAGCTTTTGATCTTGGGAGTCTTGGCTCTACTACCATACATAAAGGAATTCTGAGTATTTCTTCTGTACAGGTACTGATCAGACCCATTTGTCTTCTGATCAGATGCTAAGTGTTAGCAGGGGTATATATGTTTAGAAGTACATTTTAAAAAAATCTCAATTCACAACTTCCCTGCAGTGTTCAACTTAGCAGGATACTGGATAGAAGTCCCCCCTGGCCTGTTATCAGAGCTTAGATCAGTTACAATGGCAACTGGCCAGGGAATGGGCTTTAGAGGACCTACTGCTGCTGGCAAGGGGCTGGTGGAACCCCTCTGCCAATCTCAGCAGCCAGACTGAAAATGAGCAAAGTAGATCAGCTGTATAAGAGCTTTACTGCTGGTATGATTTGGATTTGTTGTGAATACTAAGGGGCATTCTTGAAATGCATCAAGGTGTTCCTTGGCACAGTTTATTATTTATTTATTTGATGCATTTATTAACCGCCATTCTCAGCCCTTTAGGGCGACTCATGGCGGTGTACACACATATAAAAGACAATTTACAAAAAGGCAATTACAACAACATATAAACTACATAACAATTACAAAACTACACTAAAAATCCGCTTCGTCTCATAGTGGAATCATAACCAATCTCATATTCCTTGTTCCATTCCAGTCATCTTTACCACATTGTTATAGCACTTAATTAAATGCCTTCTCGAACAGCCATGTCTTAAGGCTTTTTCGGAAGGACATGAGGGAGGGCGCCTGTCTGATGTCTGCAGGGAGAGTGTTCCACAGCCGGGGGGCCACCACCGAGAAGGCCCTCTCTCTCGTCCCCGCCAGATGTGCCTGTGAGGCAGGCGGGATCGAGAGAAGGGCCTCCCCAGACGATCTCAAGGTCCTCGTGGGCTCGTAGGCCAAGATGCGGTCCGAAAGGTATTTTGGGCCAGAACCGTTTAGGGCTTTGTAGGCCAAAACCAGCACCTTAAATTGGGTCCGGTAGCAAATCGGCAGCCAATGGAGCTGGGACAACAAGGGCGTTGTATGCTCCCTGCCCCCCGCTCCAGTTAGTAACATGGCTGCCGCGCGCTGAACCAGCTGCAGCTTCCAGTTTCATTCTAGCATACCGTAGATATCACGGAGGTGGAAATTACAACATTAAATTTGATGGATCCTTTGAAGTGAAATGTAAGTTCAAGATGTGCACATATATTTTACCATGTAATTAATAACATTACACAGACCTTGGTGTATTTTCATTCCAATGATATCTCATCAAAACAGTGTGGCATTATTAAAAAGTCTTACCCGTTATGGTTGCTTTGTTGATGGATGGTTGGTTACACATGGGTGATCGTCTGACAAAACAATAAAGAAAGAGTAGAAAACTTAGATACTGGCAGAAAGGAATTTGCATTTACATAGTTGTTGTGGGAGGGCATGCATCTTTAAGGAGTAAACAAAAAACAACCAAAGGCAAAACTAATGGATTCTAGGTTACCTGTATCTGTCAGGAAGTTTGGTAACAGGTTGGATCTGTAGTACACTGTTTTAACAGTTTCTTCACTTTATGCTCCCTCAGTAGCAATCAGGCATGTAGCCGGGGGGGGGGGGGGGGGGCTTCAGCCCCCCCCGAAATTCTCATGGTGGTTCGCGAAAAGGCCTTACTGGTGCATTAGTTAAACTGTTATGTTTATTCATATCATGATCTGATCACCATACTCAATATATCCCATATGCATGGGGGTATTGGGGTAATGATACAAAAGGTTTGCTAGGCTAGACCCTCTTTCACTCAGACTCAGCCCCCCCCCCCGAAACTCAGCCCCCCCGAACCCCCCCTGAAAATTCGCCCCCCCCGAAACGAAATCCTGGCTATGGGCCCGATTTCACCATATGTGGTGATCTTGTAAAAAAAAAAAAAGACCCAGAAATATGGGACTCAGATATATATGCTGGAAAATATTAAAATTAAAATTTAACCAGAATTCTTTTGGTTGGGGATGCCAGGTGATCAACTAGAAAAGAAAAATGAAAGATTACTCTTATACAGGAAGTCCCCTACAAACGTAAGTTAAGAATGGGATTGTGACAACAGGAAGTGAGAGAAATCTACCCTTAGGAAGAGAAATTCACTCCTGAAAGAGTTATCATGGAGTTAATGTGTATCAACTGAAGCTTTATCACCAATCCATGATTCCACAACAAGCCATTTTTTTCCAAAATTCAATTATCACAGGGGTAGAAAGTGAGGTGAAATCCTCTGAACAGGATCACAGAAAGCAAAACAAACATCACAGGGGTGTTCCTTATGCTTTCCAATGCTAAAATTACATTTTTTTGGCTGGAGTTACACTTAAAAATGTACCTGCTCCAACTTATAAATAAATTAAACTTAAAAACAAACCTACAAAATCTTGTTCGTAACTTGGGGACTCCTGTATATTATTACAACAGCAAGAATCATCTATGCCCATAGCTGAAAAGAACCAGAAGACCGGCTAATGAAAATATGTGAATTAGTTGAGATGGACAAATTGACAATATTGATTAAGGAGAAACCTCTGACTAAATTCAAGAAATACTGGGACATATTTATTACTTTTATACAGCAAAGATGGAGACAATCTTCAGTGTTTGGAGATGGTTCGCAATTCTGGATGTTCATGGGGATGGGGTGGGTGTGTTGGCACATATTGGGATGTCTTTTTGAAAAACAAGATGAAAAACAGGAGTGATGGGTAACTTCAAGGGCCATGAATGTGGAGCTCAAAACTGCATGTAATCCTCACAACCTCTGAGGATGCCTGCCACAGATGCAGACAAAATGTCAGGAGAGAGTGCTTCTGGAACATGGCCATACAGCCTGGAAAACTCACAAAAACTCAGTGATTCCAGCCATGAAAGCCTTCAACAATGCATGTAATCCATTGGCTGCACTCCTGAATTAGCGGTACTGTTTCATTTCCACTCTCCTTGACAATTTTAATTACGTCCTGACATTATGTGATTGGACATTTCCCATTCCGCTTGCAAAAACATTATATGACGGAGAAGGGGGGGGGGGGAGAATGACATCAAGCACATAGTATCTGTTGACACAGACATTGCTGCCACAAATATGGAAGAAAGGAGGGGAGGAATGAAACATGTTACTAACTACATATTTAATATCACTTGCAATGTTGGCTTAAGTGAAGCAAGGTTACCATGAACTGGATTGTTTCAATGATTGCCAACTTTTATTCCAAACATAATGATGGCTGCCAGCTCATTAAAAGTAACATTTCAGGTCATCTTATAACAGGACCTATGGTTGGACTACATATTCTGGACCACAATCTCCAACAGCAATGCAGTCCTACACATTCAGAGGGCATGAGGTCAGAGATGAATCATGTACACACGATACCACAGAGATATTAAAAAAGTGTTTTGCAGAAGGGGAGAAAATTGAAAAAGGCCACACTTACTTGCTGGGTGCTCGATCCTGAAGATTGGTTAATGCAGCAAAATTATTCCGTACAGTACGTAAGCTGGCCAGCACCTGTAGCAAATAAAGATGAAGATGCTTCATTCCCTGGATCTTCAGGTATGTTGCCTGTTTCCCTCTGTTCCATTTGGACATAAACAGAAACCTTTCAAAACAGACTAGTAAACTTTCCAGGATTATTGTGGTGTCCAAAGCCTTTGACCGTTCTTTGACAATGCAGCTTTTGTAAATGCGTGGAAAGGAGTTTTGCCACTTTCTTTCTTACCAAAGAAAGCATTATTCAAAGAAGAGGGAAATTTCTTACAAAACATTCTTTGTCTTTCTCTGAAATAATTGAGCTTTGAAAAGAACAGGCCCTTGGTATGCAGTACCCTTTGCATCACAATCATCACAAAAAGAACTTTTCACTTTTGACATCCCATCAACATAAAAGTCATTATCAAATAAATTCATGTGACCCCTGTTCATGGGCGCCAGACAAACATATGTCTGTGTAAACAGTTGTGGGGGCACACCTTAAAGTATTTACAATGGAATGGTTATTACCTTATTCACATGATTGCAGCAGTGACAGAAATGGAAGCATACACCCAAATAGACTAACAACATGTTCAACTCAAGCAGTTGATGATAACCTAAATGGGGATGTCTAGTGGAACACAGGCCCCCTGCTTTCACAACCCTTAGTTAGGAGCTGAACTTAGAAAAAAGTGCTAGTGGTTATGCTAGCTGGGAGACGCTGGCTTCAGTCTGAAACAGCAACTTTCTCAAATACTGCTTAGAGGCAGAGCTGTAGCCAAGCTGGGCGGGCGGGGGGGGGGGGGGGGGGGGGGGGGGGGTAGGGTTCCAAACCCCCTCCCGAAATTTTTCAGGTTAAGAAAAAACACCTGGTTTACTCATGAATTTTGAATACTTAACCAAATCCTCCTGCTAAGTCTATGAGAAGCAAAAATTAAACAAGTCCCTCCAGAACTGCAAGCACTATCTCAAGCAAATTCACAGTCATTACTTGCAGAAATTGCTGATATAGTGGAAGCAACCAAGTTTGCCCACCCACAACTAGTAGACGAAGACATGGGAGGGATTTGAAGCCCCCCCCCCCATGAAGGAGATGAGAAAATTGATTTAATTAAGTCTATATAAAATATAGACTGAACTATACTATTTAAATGATTTTGTGTTATGGAACTACTTTTCATGATTTGCTAAAAAAATTTCAAACCCCCCTCCCCATTTTTTCTGGCTACAGTCCTGCTTAGAGGTATATTGGCACTGGCAACAACACAACTAACCATGTGTCAAAAGTAGTCCATGATACGGCAGCCTGATATTCAATACATAAACACATTGGAAAATTATATATCCTTAGGGCAAGGGTGGAGCAGAAGGGGAGGAATTGTATTTCCTGGATAAATAGGCTGCAAAACCCTCTTCCTTCTATTTGACACTTCAAATCACTGTTTTTCAAAACCAGAAGTGTACTTCTAGTCATTTCTCAGTTTTTTGCCCTTTGGTAATTGCTGTTTAGCAAGGTCTAAATACCCTAGATGCACCAGATCCTATCTGATTGTGGAAGCTAAGCAGGACCAGCCCTAGTACTTGATTGAGAGTCCACCAATGAATGCCAGGTGTTTGTAAACTATATTTCAGAGGAAGGAACTGGTAAAACCACATTTGCGTATTCAGGCACCAAATGGTCCTAGAGGCAGAGAATTGCTTCCTGGTCCTGCTGCAGTTTCCTTGCCTTAGGGTGAGACACTTAACGTCACTCTGTCTCCTGCCCATCCTAAAAGGGAGGATCCAGAGATAGGTGTCTGATAGAATTTATCGGAACACCTTTTCCTTTCTCCTAGATCTCAGTGCTTCATTGACTGTACACGATAGAGATTGGAACCTATGCTCTTTCTGTGTTGTTGAATTATAACTCTCTCCAAGATAAATGGGTATAGAAACTGGGGCTGGAGGACAGTATCTTAGATAAGGCTGTGCCAGTTCACAGTGTTCTGATCCATATGAGTAATAGTGGGGGCAGTTCAATTTCACAATAGTGTTTCCATGAAATTAATTCATAAATTCAACAATAGTTTTGGGATAAACAAAAAAAAGTGGCTTTTTCAAACACCTGGCTGGGTATCACCTGAAAACATTGTCTACTTCCTTCAATACTTCTATGCAACACAACATCTCATGGGTACCTACCTGAGCAAATGGTGTCACAATCAAGTCATCTCCATGTCTGAAAAAATAGAACAGAATAGGATGGAAAAGCATTATTAGATGTGGCAGGAGACTCTCTTCTGCAACAAGTGATGCTTTCACAATCCAACCCACTAGCTCAGAAATGAGAACCTTTTGTGAACTCCATTAGTTACTTCATCATCCTGAATTAATTCTAGCTGACCTATCATGATGCTAAAGCATAATATAACTATAGTCTAGTCACTTGATGATTGGCAAACCTCATGACTTCAGCTATGCGTATTTAGGTTGGTACACAGCTGTAATGATCAGAGACTGAGTGAGGCCATTACAGCTCTTGTTGTCTTGGGCTTAAATTCACTGGAATCTCATTGCTTTGGCATTAACCAGGCATGCCCTGAAACTTGGTAGCACCCATAATTACTTCTTTATTGAAGAGGCCTGCCCATTTAGATTTTGAAAGTGATTTGCATTGAGTGTTACTAACGGAATAATAATTTGTGAGGATTGGACAAGCTAGTCACTGCAGATGACAGGGAAGTGTTTCATACACTAATAAAAACCCAGTCAAAGTTTTCAAGTGACTCAGATGTCCGCGTACGTGTTGCTGAGTGTATGCTGTTGCTGCAGCAACTGTACCTACATCATACTGTGACATCAGAGGAAAGGCTTAGAGCGCTAAGTCTTGGCGGGTGAGGAAAAAGAGCAAAGCAATCACCATTGCTACCACCAGATACCTATTCTGTTGTGACCCAAAGTATTTATTATCCTCTCAGGAAAAAAAAAATCAGAGTCATGTAAAAGTTAACACATGGTTATACACCTTACCTTTTAATATTTTGCATTAAGTCACCAGGGAATTGAATACAGTATGGCCCCTTTATCTATGGGGATACATTCATAGAACATGGATATTATAAAACCCTGTCGAAATGAAGAATTTCTCATCGAAGAATAATGTAGTAACATTGGAAGACCTAGATCATGCCTAGAGAGGTCATATTTTGTTGGATGTGGATCAATGAAATCATGGACAACAGTCCCATGGCTGTGGGGGTCTTACAGTATTAAGTAGAACACGGAAGAGCTGGCATAACATAATGTCTTATCCTGGAACAGGACAAGGTACCATATAGCTCTGTCATATTGGATGAAGCTATCTGTCCTCTCTCTTCTTCCAAACTTTCACATACAGGCACAGGCATCCTCTTCCAACATTGCCTCACAGGAGATGAGGAAAAAAGGAGCATGCAGGGGCATCCAGCTCTGTTCTTGTTGCCTATACCTATGCACCACATCCCTCCATTTTCAACTGGTGAGACAGTCATGTTAGGAGGCTGGAAGGTAAGAAAGCACATGTACATGTGTCCTTCCTGGCAGAGCTTTATGGTATCTTGTCTTGTTCCGTGACCTGTTCAGAATCAAAGCATCCTGTATCTCACCTGGTAATCTTATCATCTGTGTGTGTGTTTGTGTGTAAAATCACCACGTGGCAAAGAAGCTAATGGCTAAACCAACCATTACAATACAGAGAGCTTGACAGTAATGAATAACAAGTGAGAAAGTACCTGGGGTTTGAAGGCACTGATGTTACCAGAATGTAACAACACTGACTTCAAAAGTAATGTTAACAAGTTGGAATGAAATTTTATTGGTTAAACACAGGAGCAGGCAACTTTCAAGTGTTGGATTTAGGTCCCTTAAGGTCCTCCAGAACTTTTGAGAATGCCACCTACCTCCACCATACCCCATTTTTCCTCCTGCTTCCTTAAGATTAAACATGGCAGTCTATTATTTATGCACCAATATTTTATACAGTGATATCTTGACTTAAAGGAGTTTAATTCATTCTATGACTGAGCTCTTATCGCAAAGCAAAATTTCCTCTTGAAATACTATTAATCCTTTCCACCTCCCAAACCTTCCCATGTTATTTATTTATTTATTTACTTTGCTTCTATACCGCTGTTCTCAGCCCGAAGGCGACTCACAGCGGTTCACAAAACACAGAATACAGCAAAATTCAACACCAATATAAACAGTTAATAACCTAATCTAATACACAATTAATACACAATTACTATGAAACCATTTAAATGAAAAATGTACTTTATACATAAGTGCTGTATAAATGCACATTATTTTATTTATTTACTACATTTGTATATCGCCTTTCTCAGCTAGTGGCGATTCAATGGAACAATCAAAAAAGAAAAATCAACTTTAATTTATTTATTTATTATTTATTTAGAGCTTTTATAACCCGATCTTCTCGACCTCCGAAGAGGGAAGAAGCAAAAGGGTAGAAGCAAAACTTTGTGGCAAGGAAGCACATTTGAAACAATAAAATGTATGTTGACCAGTGTAACAGCAAAGAAAAATCTGCACATTAACATGGAAAAAGAAAAAGAAAAAAGAAAAATCGACTTTAAAATGGTAAAAGCACAAAGTTGTGGTAAGGAAGCACAAAGCCACAAAATGAAGAGGCAGAAGCATCTTTGTTTTCATATAGTATTCATTCCAGCCTCCCTCCCTCCCTTTCTCTCTCTTCATGAAACCAAACATACCAGAAATAAAAACCTCACAAAATCAACTAAAAAAATAAAGTTCCTCAAAGTGGACAAGAGCAAAGCAGACAGCAATCTCCCAAAGTGGAAAAAAGCATGAGGTATGGAGGCTGCTCCCTTGAATCCCTAAAGTCCCATACTTCTTGCATTAGCACTCCCTCTTGTGCTAGTGCTTTCTCTGGTACTAGCTCTTAAATAAAAATACTACTCTTATCTCAAAGCAAAATGGCCTGAGCTCTTAAATCTCTTTTAAGTTGAGATGCTCTAAATAGGGGTTCCACTATATTTAAAATACAGAACCAATGAGCACCCTATTTTCCCCCTTTTCAAGCAGTATTATAGACCACAGGTTAACTTTTCAGAACATTGGACAACGTAATATCACACTTTTATATCCAGATAGCAGCAGGAAGGAAAGTCATGTGGTTCTAAACATAGAAAAGGCTGTTAACCTTCAAGGGTATAGCTGAAGAAAAACAATAACAAAGGACCTCCCTGACATGAGCACAAAATGAGTCCAACAGAACTGGTGTTTTTCCATTAATAGGTTTATAAATGCCTCTGTTTAGAAGACCCAAATATGAAAAGAAATGTGCCAAAACAATGTATGTTAAGATTCTATGATGTGGAAAAGATTGATTTTACTGTATATTTGCATGATTTTATGGAAGCAACTCTTTTTTGAGTTATGTGAGACTTCCACCTCAGACAGTGGAACAAGAGAGGCAGTAATTGTATGAAATGGCTAGGAATATTCCAACAAAAAGTAATCCCACTGGAGACATGTGGGGTTGAGATAATAGCCTTTGTTCTTCCATCTTGTGATAAATGGGGGGATTTACACCTTCACTGGGCTTAGTTTTCACTAGTACTACATCATTCCAAGTCTTGCCCCCCAAAAAAGTGCATATGGTGAGTGAGGAGGAGGAAACAGAAGGGAGGAGACCAAGGAGGCAAAAAGGAGGGGTGAAGCAGAAGACAGAAAACTATGGAACTGTCTTACAATAAGTCATGTTGCCTTATCCCATCTAGCTTGGTCTACTCTGGTTCGGGAGTGGTTTCCCAGTATCTCACAGAGAAGGGTCACTTGAAATGCTAGTGATTAAAGCTTCTGCATATGAAACTGTACTCTGTTGCTAGGTTTAACTTTCAGGTAATGTGAGAACGGGACTAGATAGAGAGCTAAGAGTCCCCAATTAGCAGGATCAAAATGATTAGATTTCCTTGGAAAATTTAAAGAAACAAAAGAAATTTGAATAGCCTGGAATAGTTTCATTGTTGCACTGTAAATGAAGATCAGATTTGTCCTTAGAAAAAATAATTACCATCTCCTTTCCATATAAAAGATATGAGTTTGCTCTTGGTGTGTGTTATTTGTGTTCCCTTCATGGTAAACCTAAAGTGAACCCGCCACAGGTTTTTCTTGGCAAGATTTATTTGAGTGTGGGGGTGGTCCTTAGCCTTTCTCTAAGGATACTAAGTATTCCAAAATGTGTATCTATTAGCAAATAGGAGGATATGTAAGGTTTCTGGAACTTGGTATAATCATCTGTTCTCTTTTATGGTGGTGCATTACATAGCTACCCTATAAACCAGTGGTTCTCAAGCTGTGGGTCCCCACATGTTTTGGCCTTCTACTCCCAGAAATCCTAACAGCTGGTAAACTGGCTGGGGTCTCTGGGAGTTGTAGGCCAAAACATCTGGGGACCCACAGGTTGAGAACCACTGCGATAAACCTTATAGCAGAAGGTTTATGAGAGCCTTGTTGCAAGATCATAATCTGATCAAAAGCAAATCCATGTATATGATTAGGATCTGATTCACACTCATCGGACAGTGCAGCCTAATAGATGTAGTCAACAGCAATTTATAGACTCACACCTATGAAATAAAAAAGTCATAGTGTAATCTAAAATTAGTATCAACAGAATCTCTTAACCACCAGTGGAGAAACGGACAGAAATAAAACAGAAGTTTCTTTTGATACAGGGTCAAGACAGAAAGAAAAAAATCAGTAAGCAAAGAAAAGACACTATAAAACAAAGGTAAAGGTAAAGGTAAAGTTTGGAAGCCAAGGTAGAGGCACAGGTGAGCTTCACACAGCCTTATTGTCCAAGGAGTTCAATGCCAACCATGACAGAAACAGAAAATGAAAAGATTTTTGAAAAATTCTGTGCATGATGTGTCAGTTCAAGACATCATTCAGAAAAGAAATTGATTTTCTGAAGGGCTGTGGTGTCTAATCTTGCAATATCTGTAGACAGTCTTGCCACAAGACAGATATGACTATATTTATTTATTTATTTATTTATTTATTTATTTATTTATTTTTCAGTATTGCCCAAACTGTGGCATTCTCTGGGCAGTAGTTATAATAATACTGATGTTATAACTATTAGAACAAGAAACAAATTTAAGTAGACATAAACTATGTAAGAACAGCAGGAGAAGACAGGGTACAATCTGTACAGAGATATAAAAAGCAGTCAAACTTTTAAAAATAAATACAAACAATCACTTATTAATTTAGTCCAGTTTGCTCCAGGCAAATGACCATGCTCCTTCCAACAGTACTTTAGGCATCCATTCATTTATCCATGGGTTCTGAAAGTGGACCCGTGTAATTAGGATTCCCATTATGTGGGGAGTGAACACCTTTTAAAATGTCACAACTGAACATGCTAAAATGAAGCTGGCAAACACATTTCTTCCACAATATATTGCGAGTATGCATGTGCGGAGTCCCTGGGGGTGCAACGGGTGAAACCACTGAGCAGCTAAACTCACTGACCAAAAGGTTGGCGGTTCAAATCTGAGAGTGGGGTGAGCTCCCACTGTTAAGCCCAGCTTCTGCCAACATAGCAGTTCAAAAACATGCAATTGTGAGTAGATTAATAGGTACCATTTCTGCAGGAAGGTTACAGCGCTCCATGCAGTCATGCTGATCACAAGACCTTGGAGGTGTCTATGGAAAATGCCAGGTCTTTGGTTTAGAAATGGAGATGAGCACCACCCTCCAGAGTCGGACATGACTGGACTTAATGTCAAAGGGAAACCTTTACCTTTACTATGCATGCACACCATTCATTTGAGCACCACTTCAGTTGTGGTTCACACTGCAATATGGGCTATATAACTTGATCTGCACTTTCCCATGGCAAGTATTTAGAGCTGAATTGGCTCCAGACCATTGGTTTCTGATCTCCAAGTTAACTGTTCCAAGTAAGATTATGGCTTGTATCTTGATCTCTCTATGAAGAACACCATATCTCAGAGGAAAAAGGTTTTCTTTGAGGTCCCTCTGACAATGCTTGCCACACTGAAGGGAAAGTTTTCTTGACGTTAAAGCATTTACTTTATGCCATTTCTACTCATTATAATTTAGCAGGATAATTAACATAATATCTCATTTTAATGAATAATTGTCCATACAGGAACAGAAACCTAGTCACTGGAATGGGAAGGAAATATTTAAAAGAGAACTACAGATGCCCTTTTCTGCCACCACATTAGCAAAATAAACGAAAGTAAGTTGTAGCTTTGTTGCTGTTTCCCAATTATTTTTATTTCTGCATGTTTTAAATTGCCCTTTTGAAAAAGTGTGCACAATTCAGCATGCTTGGATCTGTAACCTTTTGAATCAAGATAGGATTTTCTCCACTTTTACATTGAGAACACTAGAGGGAGAAGTAGATTTCATGCATGATTGCATAAGCGATAAAGTGCCTAATATTTTTCAAAGAGTACATGCAAAAGGTCTGCTAATCAGAGGAAAAATGTAACATCTCTCGATTAAGTAGGATCATTGACCGGAGCAGCCCTAGCACTAAGCAGAGAGAGGAAGTAACCACAGTTAGCTCTGGCATGGCATGAAATGGCAACACATTGATATAAATGTATGTATAGGCATTATTCTTACTATATTTTTAGCACTAAGGATGGGGCACCTCCTTGTAGGATTTTTTTTTTTAAAAAAAAAAATCATGTTCTAAAATAAGTTGGTTAGCTTTTGAGTACTGTGCATAAGGTGCTCTGTTTCAGGCAGAAGTTTTGGTTTACTTCCTCTTTGCAGCTTAAACCCCAATGGAAACACATATCAAAATCACCCCATAGATTCTATGGGGTATTGGGGACAATTTCTAGGGAAATAAAATTACATAAAGATTTGTTGTTATTTGCTATCAGGCTGTCTGACTTATAACAATATGATGGAGAGATCACCAAAAATCCTAATCATTATCTGGCCTGCTCAGCTCTTGCAAACCCAGGGCTGTGACTTGCTGTGACCCGTAATGAGATCTTCCTTCTTCCCCACTGTCTTCTACTTTACTGAGCATTATTGTCTTTTTGAATGAGTTTTAGTCTTCTTCTGATCACAGTCTCCATTTGTTTTATAAATGACAGAGTAAAAGCATTTGAAAAATGGAGAGTGCAGGCTACTGACTGGAGCTAGCTACGATGCCCCTATTAAAGCAGCTCCACTGGCTGCTGATAAGTTTCCAGTCCCAATGCAAAGTGCAGGTTATCAACTATAGAGCCCTAAATGGCTCAGGTCCTGCCTATCTTCGTGGCAGCACCCCCCCCCCCACTCTTTCCATGATCCAGTATAGGTTCTAAGATCTGCCAGGGAGGCTCTTGTTCCCACCATCAAAAGCACGGTTGGTGGGAATGAGGGAGAGGGCCTTCTCAGTGGTCCCCTCTCCAGCTTTGGAACACCCTCCCCAGGAAGAGGCCCCCCACACTGTCCTCCTTTTGTAAGGATTTGAAGACATGGCTTTTCAAACAAGCTTTAGAGAATGCTTACTCTCTAGTTCTTCTGCACAGTAGTCGCACATCCTTGCACTTTATCCTATGCCCTCTTTCCACTGTAGCAGCTTACACTTATTCCATTCCTATTGGTTACAGCTTGACCATGTTTACAGCAGCTTTCCGCCACTAGTTGATGCCCTCAATTTTATGAAGTTTGAGTTGATGTTTTATATGCATATGAGTTTTATTTCATTGTATTTTATATTGTGCTTCATCTTTATGTTTATTCTTAGGCACTTTGTGGCATCTGTAAGCCATCCTGAGTTCTTTCAGGGAGATGGTGGCGGGATATAAGAATAAAGTTATTATTATTATTTATTTTCCTGAGCACCCCTCCCCCCATCACTTACACCCCATAGCCTCTCATATATAAACTGTTCACTAGGATTCAATCAACAAACATTCATGCTGCAATTTACATGTAGGCTACCATTTCAGCACAGTCTCTGTGGGCAACGACTCACTGAAATGTAGTAATAGGATTAAGCTGTAATTCTGAATTTTGGCTGAATTTTGGCTTATTAGTTCCAATCACCAAATGACCAGGGATTGCACAGAATACTTACATATCACTAGCGATGGAGGAGTTCCTAGACATGGACTTTGGAGAGAGGTCATAGTCACTATCAGACCGATAGAGGAAGGACTCTCGGCGTTGACTGTGAACAAAGTTAGCCTGTAGAATAAGCCCTGATCCAGGGCTTGTCATGGGATCCAAGGGACTCCGTCCCGATGAGGTGCCATTGTCTACGTCAAAACTGTAACAGAAGAAGAATGAAAAAAACATCAGTGCTATGGTACAGAACCAACAGTCTCACGAGCAACAAATTTAGGCCATTTTTCACTATCAAAGCACTCCAGTACCATTATAATTGCCATGGCTCTATCCTATGGAACCATGGTTTTGTGATTTATTTACAGTTATGTTCTGTAGAGTCATAGTGCTTCAAGGATCTTATTGGTGAGAGCCACAACAAACTGCCATAAGTTTGTGTTGTGAAAGAGGTAATACTTATCACCCAAACCCCTTTGACTGATTCTCTCTTCTTCCTACTGGGTCAAACCACAACTACTCAGCTAGTTAAGGGCTGGTAGCACTAGTGTTATGGTAGAAAAGCCCAAAATAATTGCAAAGAGACAAAAAAAGAAACCCACCAGAAGCATTATTGCCATCAGATTCCATTATATATCAGTGTTTCTTAGCTGTTTTGGACATTCTTTACAAATCTGATGAAAGGCATGGGCCACCTCCCTAGGAAAATGCATATAAGCACAGATAACAGGAAATAAATCAAAGGGGGGAAATCCAAAGTTTTTTTGTGCCTTGGTCACAGAGTGTTCTGATGCCTATCCATGCTTAGGAGTCCATGGATTACAGGTTAAGATCCCCTGCTTTAAATGAATTTTTTTAAATTAAATTTACAGCAGGACCGATTCATTTATGTGATGGCAAAGTATACCTTTATTTTATTTGTTTTACAAGTATTTATATCTTGCTTTTCCTCCAAATGGAAGAAAAAATGTCATTCTCTCCATTTGTATCCTCATACAATCCTGGAAAGTAGGTTAGCCTGGGAAACAGATCATGACAGAAGCTTTATGGCCCAGTAGGAATATGGTCCAGTGGGGATTAGAACCTGGCATATCTGGGTCCTATTTCAGAACATCAACCACTATACTGTCCTGGGTTTCTTTTGTTTTTCTTTACATGCTTGCAGGGGTAGTCCAATGTGCCTCCCAGAGATTTTAGACTAGAAACAACTCAAATAACCAGTTCCGGGGAAGATTTCTTTCTTTTCTTTTTTTAAAAATCACTGTCATGCATCTTTCAAAACTGAAACAAGAATTTGGAAAAAAATGAGATTGTGGCAGTAGTGGTAAATTTGCTTTCTTGTGTGGAGATCAATCCGTTCTACTTAATATCCAATCCATGCCGGCTGACACCCACATGGGTATTCCCTTTTCTTGAAAGTTTCTTCTTTGCTTCCTCTTTTGCAGGGTGTTTGCAATTATATGGTTTGCAGCACACAAACCACAGAAATGAATAGTGAATTCAAATAGCTTCCTGTGTGGTGTTCAGCCAATCCCTTTCCATTCCCAGGTTTCCTGGGCAAATAAACACAACATTGCTTTCTGGCACTTTCCCCGTCTTTCCCTGAATTTTGTATCTCTCTGTGACTTTTCAGTACAAATACTCAACACAACATAAACCAAATAATCAAAATCATGCTTATTCCAAAATCGAAACATGCAAGTATTTATTTATTTTATTTATTTATTTATTACTGTGCTTATATATTGCCGTTTCTCAGCCTAAATCGGCGACTCAACGCGGTTTACAACACAACGACAAGCAGCAATATTCCATTAAAAAGCATAAAAACACATACACAATACACAATATTATTGGGCCACCAATAATAATCCAATGCATCTCTTAATTGTAGTCGCAATCCAATTTCGTCGTCTGTGATTAACCAATCCTTGTTCATCAGTTTCGTTGCACCAGATTAATCGAATGCTTGTTTAAACATCCATGTCTTCAACCTTTTTCGAAATACCATCAGCGAAGGGGCTGATCTGACCTCTATGGGGAGGGCATTCCAAAGCCGAGGGGCCACCACAGAAAAGGCCCTGTCTCTCGTCCCCGCCAGCCGCACCTGTGAAGCAGGCGGGACAGAGAGCAGGGCCTCCCCAGAAGATCTTAGGGTCCTGGTGGGCTGATAGGCGAGATACGTTCGGATAGGTAAGTTGGGCCAGAACCGTTTAGGGCTTTAAAGGCCAACGCCAGCACTTTGAATTGAGCCCGGTAGCAGATCGGCAGCCAGTGGAGCTGGTACAGCAGAGGAGTTGTATGCTCCCTGCGCCCCGCTCCTGTTAGTATCATGGCTGCCGCCCGTTGGACTAATTGGAGCTTCCGAGCCGTCTTCAAAGGCAACCCCACGTAGAGAGCGTTGCAGTAGTCAAGACGGGATGTAACAAGAGCGTGGACTACCATGGCCAAGTCAGACTTCCCAAGGTACGGTCGCAGTTGGCGCACAAGTTTTAACTGTGTGAATGCTCCCCTGGTCACCGCCGAAACCTGGGGTTCCAGGCTCAGCGATGAGTCCAGGATCACACCCAAACTGCGAACCTGCGTCTTCAGGGGGAGTGCGACCCCATCCAACACAGGCTGTAACCCTATACCCTGTTCGGCCTTACGACTAACCAGGGACCTCTGTCTTGTCTGGATTCATTTCAATTTGTTCGCCCTCATCCAGTCCGACACAGTGGCCAAGCACCGTTCAGGACCAGACCGTCACAGCGGCCAAGCACCGGTTCAGGACCTCGACAGCCTCCTTAGTAGCAGGTGGAAAGGAGAGTGACAGAGTTGGACATCATCTGCGTACAGATGACATCGCACTCCGAAACTCCGGATTATCTCGCCCAGCGGCTTCATGTAGATGTTAAACAACATGGGAGACAGTATTGAACCCTGAGGAACCCCACAAGACAAAGGTTGTGGGGTTGAACAGGAGTCTCCCAGTAACACCTTCTGAGACCGACCCTCGAGGAATGAGCGGAGCCACTGCAGAACAGTACCTCCAAGACCCATCCCCGCGAGGCGTCCCAGAAGGATACCATGGTCGACGGTATCGAAGGCCGCTGAGAGGTCGAGCAGCACCCACAGGGACACACTCCCCCTGTCGAGCTCCCGACGCAGATCATCCACTATGTCTTTAGGCTACATCTTGTTACATTTTTAAAAGAAGTTTATACAGTTTTTATATAAGAAATAGATACAGTACATGGAAAGATACAAATTACACAGAAAGTTAAGGAAAGGAGAGACGATTTATTAAAGGGTTACTAAAGCTTCACTCTTTGTGGAGTGACGATGCTACTGATCTGCTCCCAATCTCTGATAGCAAACTTGCAAAGTTCAAAAAAGATTTTTTTAAATAATAAAAACAATATATTTATTGCAGAGTCATTAACAAAATAGATCTTCCGGGAGCGGGGGGGGGGGGGGGGGNGTATCTGGCCACTTGGGGTGCCTCTGGTGTTGCTGCAAGAAGGTCCTCCATTGTGCATGTGGCAGGGCTCAGTCTGCATTGCAGCAGGTGGTCTGTGGTTTGCTCTTCTCCACACTCGCATGTCGTGGATTCCACTCATAGTTGAAGTAGACTTCAACTATGAGAAAATTGCTGTCCACACTTCAGGCATGTATAAGGACAAGCAGATGCTCGTGTTACATCCTCAGAGACTGCCGTTAATATGGTATCCAGTCCAGAGCGGATCAAAGCGACTTTGTCTGCGAAGAACTGAGCAAAAGCTTCACAGCGAGCTGCCGAGTCATCAGGGCACCCATCCTGAGTGGTGGGTTTTAACAGGCCTCTGACAACTCGGAACAGTTCAGCCGGACGGTTCTTTGCAGACGCAATAGTGGCCGCAAAGAAAGTCTTCTTAGCGGCTTTTATTGCCGCGGCATATGCCCTTAAAAAGGACACAAACCGTGTTCGATTTGGCTCGCTCGGATCTGAACGCCACACGCTCTCTCGTTCCCCCACACGCTCTCTAGTTCCTTTCATGTAATCATAGCCTTCCACTATGAGTGGAGGTCTGTCTCCATCCCAATCATTTATAGAGTTTCTCCCCATCAAGAATCCTGTGATGTGAACATAGACCTGTGAGTCTAGCTCTGTCCAGACTCTAGGCCAGAGGTCCTCAAACTAAGGCCTGGGAGCCAGATACGGCCCTCCAAGGTCCTTTACCTGGCCCTCACTCAGGGTCAATCTAAGTCTGAAATGACTTGAAAGCACACAACAACAATCCTCTGCATCTCATGGTCAAGAGCAGAGCCTGTTCAGCGCCCCCTTAGATAACCCTATATAACTACTTCCCGCTTAGATAACCCTATGTAAGTACACTTATGCTTTTGGCAACACTCTTCCAATTTATAAATTCGACAACTGATATTTGCCTCTGTTGTTGCTGTTGTGAACAAGTGATAAAGAATTCCCAATCTTTACTGAAGTTGCTAAAAGATGTATTTTTAATTGGCAGAGTCACTTTCCTATCTCTGATCGTTTGTGGATTTCAATCAGTCATTCTTGTGTGGGAGCTTTCCAAACTGTGTGCCATAACATACTAGTGTGTTGGCTATAGTCCACAGGCATGCCACATCAAAAATGGTTGTTCCCACCCCCTGCCTGCACTGGAAGAGACCCTCAAAGGGCATCCAGTCCAACCTCCTTCAGCCAGGAAGCAGGCACAGTCAAAGCCCTCCCAA